GTGCAATTGGGATACGATGACATGTGTCAACCAAGTCAGCGAGCCTGACCACCTGATCCTGTTAGTCGCCTCTTACGACAAGCATGGGTTACTGAAGACCAATTCTAACCCGGATCTTCACGGGTATATGAGTGAAGAAACCTGTAATGGTTGTGTGTAAGTGATAGTCCTGATATGAACTATATCCAGGGTTCCATGGTCAGCTCTGGCAAACATGTAAAACTAAAATGTTCAGATGACATTTAGTGGCGCTACATGCAGTGAGTGAGTGAGTTTAGTTTTGTGCCCTACACCAGCTATATGATGGCGGTCTGTAAATATTCGAGTCTTGACCAGACAATCCAGTGATCAACAGCATGAGCATCGGGCTTCCTCTTTTGACAAACATGGGATACTAAAGGTCAATTCTAACCCAGATCTTCATGGATATGTCACATACAGACTTAACTGAACAGGTATTTGAAATTTGTTATATATATGTAGCTGTATGAATGTGTGTTAGGCCACAGTGGAAGGTCCAATAAGCTTAGGTCATGATTTTCTGTTGTCTGTTGTGTGTTCGCCATGAAATGGCTGGAATATATTTAAAAGCTGCTTAAAACCGTACTCATTCAAAACACAACAGTGGGTGGATGAGTCCAGTTTTAAGCAGCTGTGAACATCTAAGAAACCACTGGCCCATTGAAGCTAACACTTCACATTCTTGTTTCCACCACTGATGTGAGAGGGTACGTAAGTCCCAAAACTTTCAAAGTCTATTCAGATCTACACACTTTTTTAATTGTAGAATATTTGTTGTTTTATTATGGCTAACTATCAGTACAATCGCCGATTGCTGAAGGGATGGTATAAATCCAGCTAGGGTCCATGCAGGTAGCCAAAGTACTGTAAGTCCCCATGGTCCCTATTGTGGTGGTCTGCCTTCAGTTGTTGGCGATCCTCAGCCTTTTTTATATTGTATTGTCCTAATCTGAAATCCTATTTTAGAGATAAATGCTAGTTTTATTTCTTGATATTGTGATACTCTAGTCGGTTTTACTGTCCTTCGAATACAGGTTTTTATAATTTACCATAAATTACTATGTATAACAATGAAATGTTCTCGGCACGATATGGCTGAAATATTGCCGATGTGACGATAAATTATAACTCACTCACTCACTCCACCACCCTATTTATGGAATAATTTGGATTCAGATTTTCAAAAAAAACACCAGTCATAATAAAAGTCCTTTTCTGCCGTTTAGCAACATTTCGGTTCACAATGAGATGAATGTTCAGTTGTTTGTAGTTACTTGTGCGTCTCAGCATACATATACTTTGTAAATTATGTTAAATTTTGACCTCAATTTGACTCCTTAACTCTTATCACAGCAGCGAAACATATGCTGAGTCAAAAAAGAAACTTCACAAAATGTAATTTGAAAAATAATGAATAATTTTTCTCTGATGATACATCTTTGTATCCGAAATGGGATCCCTATCTTTCGACTCTAGAAAAACTTTAGCAAAACCCACTCAAACCCATCCATTCGTCGTGCAAATGACGTTAGTGCCAAATCAGGTTTTCTTCATATGCACGTGTTTGCATTGGCCTCAAGAATTGAAAAAAACACTTTTAAACCACAGTTCTAACGGTACTTGAAATGCCACGATTGTCAAATGTGCAACGTGAACGTGCCGTTGGCATTTTGCAAGCGGGAAGATAAGTTATTGACGTCGCAAGAGCAATGGGATGCAGCCGTCGTACTGTGTATGACTTACGAGGTCTTCTACAACAAACTGGCACCACTTCTGATCGCCCAAGGTCGGGTCGTCCACGTGTGACGTCACGAGCAGAAGACCGTCAAATCGTCCTACGTCACCTACGTGACAGATTTCTGCCGGCTACACGAACCAGGGCTGAGATGTTTAGAGGTCGACTGTCCTCACAGACCATTCGAAATCGGTTGCGGGCTGCCAATCTCCATTCTCGACGTTCATATTGTGACTTGACATTCTGTATACCCATGTTTTGGAACGGCGGTGTAGCCTAATGGAACTGATTATGGCACTGTCAGTGTATCGAGTACATCACACGGATCTCAGCAATGAAATAATAACAATTTAACCATCTTACCATCTCTTGTTCTTGTATAGTGCCCTGAAGAAAGAATGTGAAGTTTCTTTTTTGACTCAGTATGTATTCATGCCCTTTCGTTTATCTTCAAATGTAATGTGAGCCATGAAGATCTTGGTTAGACTTGATCATCACCAGCCCAGGCTTGTCATATGTTATGTGGGCTGTGAAGATCTTGGTTAGATTGATCATCACCGACCCAAGCTTGTCATATGTTATGTGGGCCGTGAAGATCTTGGTTAGACTTGATCATCACCAGCCCAGGCTTGTCATATGTTATGTGGGCTGTGAAGATCTTGGTTAGACTTGATCATCACCAACCCAGGCTTGTCATATGTTATGTGGGCCTGAAGATCTTGGTTAGATTTGATCATCACCAACCCAAGCTTGTCATAATTATGTTATGTGGGCCGTGAAGATCTTGGTTAGACTTGATCATCACCAACCCAGGCTTGTCATATGTTATGTGGGCCGTGAAGATCTTGGTTAGATTGATCATCACCAACCCAAGCTTGTCATATGTTATGTGGGCTGTGAAGATCTTAGTTAGATTGATCATCACCAACCCAGGCTTGTCATATGTTATGTGGGCCGTGAAGATCTTGGTTAGATTGCTCATCACCAACCCAGGCTTGTCATATGTTATGTGGGCCTGAAGATCTTGGTTAGACTTGATCATCACCAACCCAAGCTTGTCATATGTTATGTGGGCCGTGAAGATCTTGGTTAGACTTGATCATCAGCAACACGTGCTTGTCATATGTTATGTGGGCCGTGAAGAACTTGGTTAGATTGATCATCACCAACCCAGGCTCGTCATATGTTATGTGGGCCGTGACGATCTTGGTAAGACTTGATCATCAGCAACACGTGCTTGTCATATGTTATGTGGGCCGTGAAGATGGTTAGACTTGTTCATCAGCAACACATGCTTGTCATATGTAATGTGATCCGTGAAGATCTTGGTCAGATTTGATCATCACCAAGCTTTAAGAGGTGACTAGCTGGATTCGCTGTGTTGCTTGTCTTCATACCCAAATTGTGTTGATCGATGGTATTAACTGCTGAGAGCTTTTTCAAACCTTCAACACGTGAGGATCATGATATATCCTTAACTATGAACTGAAGGTCCAGTGAAAGGGATTTGTGGAATGATCAAAGAAATGAGTAAAACGGACTGAAAATAGTCAAGAATCGTCTCATGTGCTGAAGCAAGCTAATAAACCATAACATGTCCTCAAGGATTTGATAGGTTTCATTATCACGCCAACATCAATAACAAAAGTACCATGGCCTCAGTATCAAGATCTTCAGCATTTTTCATAACACACTTCTTTCTTGATATTTCGGTGTATAACAAGAAATCACAATCCTCAGATAATTGCAGACTAGTCTGAAAAATAACTACTTGTAATTCATACTGTGATAATATTTTGCCGTTTTCTTCTTGTGTAATATGAATGCATAAATATTTGGGTTTTAAAAATAGAAGTGAAGTGCTCTGATAATGATATAACGTCTGACAAAAATACAAACCAACATAGGATTTGATGAAGTGAAATGGGTTTCACGTTACACAACAGGGAAACTCATTTCATAAATGATTGAGTGTAGTTTTACGCCGCTTTTAGTAATATTCCAGCAATATCACGGCGGGGGACACCAGAAATGGGCTTCACACAATGTATCGATGTGGGGAATCGAATTTCGGTGTGACGAGAGAACGCTTTAACCACTGGGCTACCCCACCGCCCCTTATTTCATGATAACTACTCGGCAATACTGTCAAACACCGTTCTGTCGAAGTTGAAGGGACCTACGCAAACACTTCAAGTTATCCGATGTTCGGCACACCCACTAAATGATGACTAACTCTGGTATACGCAGGCATCCAATGTTTACTTCGAGACAAAGGCACGTTCTCACATCATAGTTCGACACAGCAGTGCTTGTACTTGATTTTGAAATAAAAAGTATAAATGATGTTTTGTGCTGATACATCCAAATCACTGAATGACGTTCTGGTTTTGCTAAATTTTAGATATTTAATGTTGATTACAAGAGTCATGAAGTGATTATTAATATGCTGAAGATACATGTACATCCACGTTGGTACAATGTGTGAAGCCCATTTCCGGTGTTGCTGAATTAGTGCTAAAAGTGGCGTAAAACCATGCTCACTCACTCACTGAAGATAAAGCGAGCTAGGTTGTCTCCCCATGTGGTCATTCAGAACTAACACACTGTATTCTTATATGTTACGCAAACATCATGTGCTAATCTTTAGACATAGAAGACGTGTAAACATGTTTACAGTTGTCCAAATCCCTGCTTCGTTCTGAAAGAAACGGACCGCATCCGTGGTGTAGTGGTTAGAGCGTCCGCCCGGAGAGCGGGTTCGATCCCCGACCGCGTCATACCAAAAAACGTTAAAATATGGTACTTGTTGGTCCCTGCCTGGCGCTCGGCATTAATGGTTATAACAAGGACTGGTCGGCTCGGAGTCATTATAATGTGTCTAGTGGGGTAATCATACTTCACTGCGGCATGGTATCTCCGTCAGCTAGCACTATAAAACCAGCTTCAGTCTGGGCTAGTACAAGCAGCCGCACATACAAATACACACGAATGCACGTCGTCATATGAGCGAAATATTCTCAAGCACGACGTTAAACCCAATTTCACCTCACCTCACCTCTGAAGGAAACACAACTGTCCACTATTCAGATCCAGTTCTAACCACAAGAGGTAGGTTTCAACACAGAATATTTAGTAGTCGTCGTCAAGCAAGAGGTTATATGTTTAGATACAGTTTTCCAGCTTCTGCATACAATGTACCTGCCACTATGTATATGCACTTTAGCAACACAACAAAAATACGAAACCGTTCATCATGTTTAATAATGTTTCAGCCAAATAATTAGTCAGTATGTACTCGTGAATGTTGGAAGGGACAAACTTGGCTGTGTCAAGGTCGCCGCCAAATTATTGGTCAGAATGTTATCACAGAATGTCAGAAGGGACAAGCTTGCCTGTGACAAGGGTGGCCGAAGTTACACGACCTTTCGACTCCTTGTTAGAGAAGTTAACCCGGACCACGTTAGAAGTGGATTTCAACAAGGTTGACGGAACATCAAACTCCCAAACATCCATGTAGTTGAAGATTTTACTGCTAGTTTTGTCGGAGTCAAACAGCTTGTAAAAGACATCAAGATGTTGGTTGTTGAACGTAACAGATGCCAGACTGTTTGTTTCATTCATGGGAAGACTGACTGAAACTCGTAATCTCGCGCTGTCGAATTCATCATTAGGGATGGGTATGGTTGTCTCAGCGGTGCCGTCCTTAAGGGGTATAATGATATCACTCCCGTAGTACGTAGTTTCATTGAGTGTGACTTTAGGAAACTGGTCCGCTGGGGTCTTGAATGTATAGCGACAGGTTGCTTCAGGCGGTAAGACAATAACTCCACCACTTTTACCGATGTCTATGGGTTCGTTGAAGTTCATGACTGGATTCCAGTTGTCCTTGATGGTGATGCAAGTCGCTTCTCCCATAGTCGGTTTGATCCATTTGTTTTGGAAAACTAACCTGATGGTCTGAGGCTGCTGAGAATAGCTGAGTAAGAGAATAACGGTTTCATTACGCGAGGAACTTGACATTACCAATGGTGACACAGTTCGTTCCTGAACGTCTACTTGGCTGGTGGTTCTGATGAAGGAATACTCTGATGTGAAATTGTACCATAATTTGAAGACATCGGCAATAGGCGTTGCGTTTCCTTGGAGGGTGAATAGAGACCAGTTGAGACTATCATGTCCTGGATATTTTTCATTGGATAACAAAAATACCACCGTCCTATCAATGTATTCTCTGAGACCTAGTTGGGTGAATCTGTGGGCATTAGACTGGTATATTGTTGCAAACTCAACTATCCCAGAGGGAGCGGTCGAACTGATTCCCATCACTCCCCCGCGACCATATTCGCTGATAACAAAGGGGCATAATCCTTCCCGTCTTTTGATGGATATAGTTTTCAATGAGGTCAACAAATGCTACCAGACGTGCTTCATTTATCCCATTAAATTGGTGGGATCTTCCCGTTACATTTAGTGTGTTGTACGAATGAAAGGAAAACACGTCTAAATGGTCTAAAGTGATGTCCAAGAAGTCCACCAGTTTTGTCCAGAAAGAAAAGTCATTCCTGTCCACCACTGTGTTATAGCCTGTAATTGTTGGACCAGCCACTTTAATGTTAAACCTGGCATGGAGTTTCTCAGCAACGGCTTTGTGGAAGAAGGCGACAGTCGTGCTGAAATCAAATATCTGCTCTTTAACATCCGGTTCATTGACGACCTCGAAATATGGCGGGATGTGACCTTGTGCGTAGTCATACACTCCTTGCACCATCAATGATATAAACTCAGCAGCTGCGTCGATGTTGTTCGGGAACTGACCCTCATGCTCAGACTGATTTATCCAATTTGGCCAGTTGTGAGCTAAAATGTAAAATGCAACGACAATGAAACTAGTGAAACACACCTATGGTTGTTCTACAATCAAGACCTCAAGCTGAGTATCTTATTTTGGCATTATGTGACTGCTTTTAATCACAGACGCAGTAGCTCCTCAAGTCACCAATCTGCACCATGTCGTTTGGTTTATTATCTACTACCGGTTGCCAAAAGAGGGAGCTGCAAATTTAACGTCGTCAGCTGACTCGTCTCACCTTATCAAAATTAATGGCATAAGCTTGTGCCTGTGACAAGGTGTGGTGATGACGTAGCCTTGATTACGTCACTATATAGCCTGTTGGCTCGTCAAACTAAACGATCGGGGCCGATACACCCCCTTAAGTCTGTATGTCCCCCGCCTCATGAAACAGTGTAAACAGTGTTTGTACCTTTTAGGACATGCTGTATCTGGTTGTGGTTGTAAACTGGTTCTGTTTCCACAGTATTTCGGCTATACCAAGGCGTATAAGGCTGATGTGTGATTATCGCTGCTTCTTTGCAGTATATCGGATTTTCGACTTTGTTGCTAACATTACTTTTGGCCTTTGCTGCTGTTATTATTGTGGTAGAAACATAAAGAAGTACGAATGTTTTGATTTTGAAAGCTATACATTGACAGATTTTGTTTCTAAATATTCATAATTTCTGACCTCTCGCCATCATGATCATTTCGTTCTTGTAACCACTGTCGATGTTAGCAAGGTAGGTGGAGAACAGTTCCTGTTGCTTGGTAACGTTCTTCAGGTAGTTGGGGTCTGGGTAGCCGCTACGGTTTGGGTCCTCTGGCCACTACAATCAATATGTTTGATTGACTATAACATTGCTATTTTACATGGTCTGTTTCGAGAACATTAGCACATATTAGTACACACATTCACTGTACGTCTTAATATAATTAACTTAGCCGAGGCGTTTTGTGCAAAATTACGAAAAGAAAATTAATGTTTTGTAATGTTTATGATGAAACCGTTTGGAAATAGATCTCAGTATGATAAAAAAGGTTAGCTGAATATTTTGGGGATCATTTTGTAGTCAAGATTGAACAAAAAAATGTCCCCAAAGTATGCATGATCACCAACGGTTTTTGTACTGTGATCACGTTATATAAGAAATGAAAAGGTTAATTCAGTAATTATGCAGTCAATAGTGTTTCCTAGTCACCTAGTCACGGACAAGTATACTTGTAGGCTTCACCATTTCAGCCTCCGGTCTCAAAATTCAGTTTCATCACCTCCATGCATCAGTGCAATATCACTACCACAATGATGTTTATCAATGCCTGTTTCCAATATGTATGACATTACGTCAAAACGGACTTAAAATGAACAACACAGTTGTTGTTCTTTTGATATGTGATATGGTTGGTTGGTGTTTAACGCCGGTCTCAGCAATATTCCAGCTATATGGCGGCGGTCTGTAAATAATCGAGTCTGGACCAGACAATCCAGTGATCAACAGCATGAGCATATAGATACGATGCCATGTGTCAACGAAGTCAGCGAAACTGACCACCCGATCCCGTTAGTGGCCTCTTACAACGAGCATGGTTGCTAAAGACGAATTTTAACCTGTATCTTCTTTGGTATTTAATACGTAAAGTATACTCTCCCAAAAAAGAAACGCATATAAGAATTTCAACTGTATTTTTATGTTTATTTTGAAACATCTTGTAGGCTTTATGAGTCAATGAAATGTAGCGAAATTGCACACTGGAAATGCAGATTTATCCGTCTTTGGCACCAACTCGAGGAAAGTCAGTTTGAGTGTCACATGGAGACGTGTGGTGGCGCTGAATTCAATACCTCGTGTGACCACCGCGTGCATCCAGAACTGCACGGCATCGCCTCGGCATCGAACAAATAAGTCTCAGAATCTCGTGTTGCCCAATCGCAGCCCACTCTGCCTGCAGTGCCTGTGCGAGTTGCTGAAGTGTCTGGGGCTTAGGGTTACGGCGTCGCACCCGTCTGTCCAGGGCATCCCACGGATGTTCGATCGGGTTTAAGTCCGGTGATCTTGAGGGCCAGGGGAGCACATTGATGTTGTGGTTCTGGAGGAAGTCTCTAGTGTGACGTGCTGTGTGGGGCCTAGCATTGTCCTGTTGAAACAACTCCCTCTGGCGATCAATGATTGGAAGAAGGTGTGGGCGTAGGATTTCGTCTCAGTACCGTTGAGCTGTCAGGATGCCCTGGATCATCACGAAATCACTTCTCCTACGGCAGGTGATCGCTCCCCACATCATAACACTGACCCGGCCGAATCTGTCCACCTGGGGAACGCAGGCGTCGGCGAAACGTTCACGTCGACGTCTGTACACCCGCATTCTTCCGGCGCGTCGTTCCAATAGAAATCGTGATTCATCACTGAACCAGATCCTACGCCAATTCGGTAGGTTCCAGGCCTGAACGTTGGTGCACAATTGAACTCGATGTCGACGATGTTGTTGTCGAAGCACAGGGCCAAAATAAGGTCTTCTGGCACGTAAACCAGCCTCTCTCAACCTGTTCCTGACGGTCTGTGCAGAAAGCCTCCTCAATCCGGGTATTTGTCGAGCGGTACTGGTCACCGTAGCTGTTCGATGACGCAGATGATGTACCCAGATGTAGCGATCCTGACCCGCAGTGGTCGCTCGAGGTCGCCCACTACGAGGGGCATGTGCTACCGCATTCTTCCGGCGATATCTCTCCCAGAGCCGTGAGATGGTGCTTTGGGGAACATTGATGGGTCGGGCAACTGCACGTTGAGACTGGCCAGCTTCAAGCAAACCAATGGCGATATGACGGTTGGCTTCACTTAGACGTGGCATTTTGCGTTTGTCAACAATATTCCAAATACAGTGAATAATCGACAGACAGCGATCAACCTTTTATACCCATCATTGAGACTATCTGATCCCCAACTTTCACATGCATTGCATGTGAATTGTGTATTCTGTGACACTACACGCCGAAATTGAAAATCATGCTGTTAAATACGGGTATTTTACGGATGGTGCGTTTTGTTGTCATACTTCAAAACATAAACACCATAGGACTCATAAACAGAGCAAAACCTTTTGTAAACTGAATCACGTTTTAATTCATTGCTACATGAAATTGCTATTTTCATGATGCGTTTCTTTTTTGGGAGAGTATACTTGGAGAACATATTTAAGAATCGAATTAGAAATATTTATAAATCTTACACCCTGGAAGAGCTGATAATCTTCGTGAATCCAGCGCCCGCTGTCAGTCCCAATGCTCCGACAGTTTGGTATCAAGAATTCCTGTTCTAGACCATTGTGTTTGTTCCACCTGTCACTTTCATAGCGGACACTACCTCCCTGTGCCAACCACTGAGGGTAGATCGTCACAGTTGTGTCAGTGTTTACACACGTTGTCAGACACACTGTGAGAAAGACCTGTGTCCATTTCATCGTGAAGGGAATGTGATAAGTCATCACAAGCACACAGGTTTTAGGTCAGAATTCATGGGAATTATCCATAACGTTCCATACGTGTTAATACATGATAAGACCATTCGCTGGAATGTAGGTGTGGAGATAATGTAGCCTTGAAATAAGTGCATGTCACCCTGCCACTCAGATGTTATGAGTGAGTGAGTGAGTGAGTGAGTGAGTGAGTGAGTGAGTGAGTGAGTGAGTGAGTGAGTGAGTGAGTGAGTGAGTGAGTGAGTGAGTGAGTGAGTGAGTGAGTTAGTGAGTGAGTGTGTGACTGAGATGAGCTTTACGCCGCACTCAGCAATAGTCCAGCTATATGGCGGCGGTCTGCAAATAGTCGAGTCTGAACCAGACAATCTAGTGATCAACAGCATGAGCATCGATCTCTGCGATTGAGACACGATGACTCGTGTCAATCAAGTGAGCGAGCCTGACAACCCAATCCCGTTAGTCGCCCCTTACGACAAGCATAGGTTACGGAAGATCAATTCTAACTCGGATCTTCACGGGTTCAGCTGTTACGAGGAAAGACGTAATTTAAAGGCTCTTGATATACACTTGTCAAGTGGAACACTAAACTGATAATTGTAAAATATCTATGTAATATCTAGGGATATTTTCCTATGGGATAACCATGGCTGTACAGCACAAGAGTCGTGACCCTTATATACCAACATGACAGAGCACCACATGACGACCGTGTCTTATAAAAGGGATCTATTTTACAATAAGTTTAAAAATAATTTAGTGATGACGTAGTATTGTTTCACTGCTTGAAGCTATAAAACATCCCCGTGCCTGAAAACCAAACTGATAAATAGTACCAAACTCATGTTAATTTGATCAATGTTTCTACTTGCATTGCAAAGGTGTGCGTTGTTGTTTGGGACATCTAGATTTTATTACCAACCTTACATTTACGCATCTTACTTGTGTACACCGAGTTAAATTGAATCAAATTTATGGGATCTGGGAATAAAGAAAGGACCGCTTGTACTTTTTCCGGATAGTCTATTATATCGTTTTTTGTTTGTTTTATTCCATTGGTTGTCAAACTTGATTTTAGAATGTTAAATTTGCAGTGTTCAAATGGAATACGACGACGACGCCTTGGACGATGTTCAGTTTGTGAAACTATGTCCTCAATGTTGTCCCTAATATGCGATAGCTCCAAATAACTTTAGACAAATAAAACATAGACAAAAAACAAAACAAACGAAAGCTTAAAGAAAACATTGAAATCCAAAACAACACACACAAAAAGGAAAACAGAAAAAAAACAACTCCAACCACCACTAAATGTACATGAGTTACTTCGTCCGATACACCCCCCTTGAGTCTGTATGTCCCCCGCCTAATGGAACAGTGTAAACAGTGTTTGTTCCTTTTAGGACATGCTGTATCTGGTTGTGGTTGTAAACTGGTTCTGTGAATATTTAGTAGTCGTGAATATTTAGTAGTCGTCGTCAAGCAAGAGGTTATAATATATCTTTACACAGTTTTCCAGCTTGTGCATACCTGCCACTATGTACTATAGTAACACAACAAAAATATACGAAACCGTTCATCATATTTAATAATGTTTCAGCCAAATAATTAGTCAGTATGTACTCGTTATCACATAATGTCAGAAGGGACAAGCTTGCCTGTGACAAGGATGGCCGAAGTTACACGACCTTTCGACTCCTTGTTAGAGAAGTTAACCCGGACCACGTTAGAAGTGGATTTCAACAAGGTTGACGGAACATCAAACTCCCAAACATCCATGTAGTTGAAGATTTTACTGCTAGTTTTGTCGGAGTCAAACAGCTTGTAAAAGACATCAAGATGTTGGTTGTTGAACGTAACAGATGCCAGACTGTTTGTTTCATTCATGGGAAGACTCACTGATACTCGTAATCTCGCGCTGTCGAATTTATCATTAGGGATGGGTATGGTTGTCTGAGCGGTGCCGTCCTTAAGGGGTATAATGACATCACTCCCGTAGTACGTAGTTTCATTGAGTGTGACTTTAGGTAATTGGTCCGCTGGGGTCTTAAATGTATAGCGACAGGTTGCTTCAGGCGGTAAGACAATAACTCCACCACTTTTACCGATGTCTATGGGTTCGTTGAAGTTCATGACTGGATTCCAGTTGTCCTTGATGGTGATGCAAGTCGCTTCTCCCATAGTCGGTTTGATCCATTTGTTTTGGAAAACTAACCTGATGGTCTGAGGCTGCTGAGAATAGCTGAGTAAGAGAATAACGGTTTCATTACGCGAGGAACTTGACATTACCAATGGTGACACAGTTCGTTCCTGAACGTCTACCTGGCTGGTGGTTCTGATGAAGGAATACTCTGATGTGAAATTG